TAGCTGCAACTTGATTAGCTACACATTTCTCGAAACTGGAACTTGGACCAAGTTCTAGCATCGTGGATACAGGCCTTTAAGGCTTAGGGTTTAAATTTCTATTGTAGACTGGGACTTAAAAAATTGACTAATCACAGTCGCGTATTCTACTCATACTTGACCGTGATTGGCCAATTTCTAATAGCTTAAGACCTGTGTCCACGATGCTAGGACTTGGCAAAAGTTCTAGTTTCGAGAAATGTGTGGCCAATCAACTTACAGCTTTTCCGTAAGAGATGCAAGTTGATTGGCTACACATTTTTCAAAACTAGAACTTTGACACGGTTCTTGGATCGTGGACACACGGCTTTAGGGCTTAAATCATCTATTGTAGACTGGGACTAAAAGACGACTTAAAAACGTCTTAAAGATTAAGCTTGAAGATGCCTTTTAGACATACGTGCTGTATGAGATTATTTATAGATAATCTTGCGTAAAAATACCCTAAGCTATATTTGGCGGTTACATTTTGTAATATTTTTTTAGACGTACGCGTATTATTAATAATATAGGTTGTGAAATCTTTTAAATGTAATACGAAACACTTGTCTTAATTCTCAACCACTCGCACTCCTCCATTCCCACATACAGAGCTATCGATGCAAAAATACCGATTTACAAAACTTGGTAAAGTATCTGCGGAAGAACATAAGAGGCAATTTAAGCAGGTCGCGCTGTCGAAAATTCTAAAAATGAAATTGACACTTCGGACAATTGCTAGAATCTCAATTGCCCAGAATCAGACCCCGAGAAACCGAGAGATCTCACGATTTTCATGTCGGCCATCTTTCTCTAATTAAATACCGTAACGAGCCGCGGCATTTTTTGACAATTAACGCGACGAATCAATCAGTCCGTCCAGCCGATGTAAGATGCACATTCCGGCGGAACGAATGTAAAATATATTTTAATAGAGGCACGCGCGTTCGCTCCACGTCGCGCACGCATGCACGCGTCGTCAGGCGAATGCTTAATTTCTCGATAGCGTTATCGTACGAGGTTTATCGACTCGCGGGGAGCGTAAAAGAGGATTGCAGGTGCCGAGCGGCGAAAGCATAATAGAATACTCCGGTCGCAGTTGCGACAGCCACGTAATTTACGTCAACGTCATAATAGAGGCCAGAAAAGGGAGCGAGCGAGCGAGCGAGAGAGAGAGAGAAAGAGAGAGAACGATACAACTCGGACGCGTTTTCCGCATTCGCGCTCGCTCGCAGAAATATCGACAGGCACATATGCAGGCGCCGTGCACCGCCGTGCGCAACGTAACCGCGAACGCCCGTTCGTAATGAGACTCCCGCACCGCGTCGGAAAGGTGGAAACGTAGCGGGAAACGGGAGGGTAAAAAAAGAAGAAGCAGACGAGAGAGAGACCGGTCTGGACTCTGGTCTTTCGCATTCCATCCTCGGCCCGACCGAAGCGGAGGTAACTTTCTGCGGTCAACCCCGACGTTCGGCGCCGCGTCTCCGCGGCAGCTTGTCGCCGGCGGTTCGTAACCCTCGTGGCTTAGAAATTGCGAATTAAGAATCCACCGCTTTCTCTCCGCGACGGAGGTTATAGCGTCACGTACGGCTCGTCGGCGCGTCCTGTCCTCCCCTCGGAGGACTCGCTCGCGGGAAGCTTCGAGCTTCTTGCGTCTGCGAGACGCGAAAAATGTTATTATCCAAACGCAGCGCGGCGACGGCGTTACAATACACGAAATGTTTCTAGCGACAATGACAACACCCATGTGCGAGGACGGTGGACCGTTGAGAGAGTGGGCGCCGCTCGCCGTCCTCCTGCAGCAGATCCCCGCCAAGATACAAAACGGCATTTTCACGCAGGACATCAGCTTCACCTGCATCGACGCCCTCACCGAGTTCATCGCCATCGGCACCAATCACGGGCTCGTTTACTGGTACAACAGGGAGAAGCAGGATCTGCAGAGGCTGCATTGCGAGGTGCTCGAGAGATTTGCGTGCCGTGTGAAAAAGCAATTCGGCCTCGATCGAGTCGATTAGGGTAAACGTCAATTTTCCTCCTGTCGCAGAACGTCAACTCCAAGATCACGAGCGTGCAGGTCATCTCCACGGTCGACTACATGGTCGCGGCGGGCAGTGAGCATGGCGTCGTGACGGTGTTTCAAATTCCCAAGAACCCGCCGGACTCGCTGCCGAACAGCTTGAAGCCGAAGCAGAAGAAACAGGTGAGTTGTGTAAAAACGGCGTGTGATCTACCAACGTTCTGACTGTTGTTTTCTACAAGGTGGAGAGGTACAGTATAAGCGGCCTGCATAATACCGCAGTGACGGCAGTGGAGTGGTCCAAGAACGGTATGAAGTTGTTCAGTGGCGACAAAGACGGTTTAGTAGTTTTAACGGAGATCGTTTTTGATATGGTAAGTGGATACCGCGGTCTTCTCCCCGGCGCCTTTCTCGTTTTCCCGTAAATACACCCTGACGTCTCGTACCGTTCCTTCGCAGCATTTATCGAAATCATCGAAACTGTTGAACGAGAAGTATTCTGTGGTACAGTTGAGCTACCAGCTGGGCTTGCTGCTGGTTTCCACAACGTTGCGCACAATTTTAGTCAACAGAAATGAAAATGGGAAGGTGACGCAAGTCGGCCAGAAAGAACGTAAAACGTTAGTATCTTTGTAGGCGTCGTGGCAGAAGTTAGAGAGATGTAACGTCGCGCTGCTTTACAGATTAGGCAAGCTAGGAGCGGTGTTCGGTTCTCGGCAAAATTCAGTGCGAGAGCCGGTAGTCTATGCAAGTAGGCCAGGATTACGTTTATGGCAAGCTGATAAGATTGGTACTGTACTGAAAACGCTCATATTTAAGGTAATAAGCTAACACACACTGCATTCATACTGGATCGTCGTTGCACTTAATCAAGTCATGAATATTCTGAAAAGGATGCGGTTAGATCGGGTCATACGGAGGTGGAGTTGTTAAACCCCGCGCCCGAAGGATCGAGGAAGAATCGCGGCGAGCCTTCGTTCGGCATCGTGTTACCGTTTTGTGATGATTTATTAGTAACGTACTGTGATGACGTAGTCTACGTAGTAAATCCAAATACCATTGCAATAACATCGATCGTAAACGACTTACGGCGCGTCACCGATGTGGCCTGCACTAAAGACGAAATATTTATACTGGAGGGAGAGAGAAATATTTTGCGAATTTCCTATTATCCGGAAAATGATATTTTTGCAGGTGAGAGCGCGCGATTACTGTTTCCAGACTGGAAATCAGACGGGGAAATTGTCACGCTCAAGTTACCTCTAAATTATTTTCTTACAGAAGAAATGAGGCAGACATTGGATCCTTTGATGTCGTTCGCGGAATACAGTAAACCTGTTGCCAATGGTATACTAGAACTGACATCGAAATTAAAGGAAAGTAGTATAGTGCCAGCTATTCCCTTTCCCAAAATCAACCCAACCAACATTATTCAGTCTGTAGGGTAAGTGGAACGTTATTTCCGGAATAGATAGATTATATCTATAGAGGAAAGAGCCTGTTATGAGATAAAGCTTCTGGCAGAGATAATAAGTTTTCGTTACCCAAATTCACTTGCAAATCTTTTCGCCAAACAGATTTCACTCAAAGGGCAATAAATTTTTTATGAAACCGACATGTGTCTATTATTCTGCAGAAAGTCTGCTATCTCATATTATAAATCTCTCATAATAGGGTACTTTGCTCTGCATATAAAATATATAAAATAAAGTCTATCTGCATGTTATATTTGCTATGAATTTTTAGACCCTTCGACCGATCTGGACGAAATTTGTACAGATACTCTTTAGAATCCTACAGAAAACATATGAAACCTGGACGTCCCATTTCCTTCCCCTGTCATCCCCTCGACACTTTGTGACCAAATGCTGATATCCTAGACATAAGAAGCCCGGGTAGTTTAAGCTAGTACGCTTACACATGTAAATTGCATCATATAAAATTAAAACTGAATATTTTCTCAATATGACGAAGTTAAAAGCAACGAATCAAATTGCAGCATCGTATCGATTGTTACCGCCGGTACCGACGTCAATGCGATTACAAACGCGGAAGAAGCTGTGGAAGTGCCGCCAGTAGTTCCAATAGACTTGAATACTACGCTCATAACTGATATCAACAAAATACCGGAATACAATGATAGTAACAGAGCGAGAAACGCGGAAGACGCGAGGTGCAACGATCGCCGAGAGATATTTCAGAGAATTGGCCAGCAGGAATTCGAGGACGTAGTTTTCACGCCTGAGAGGAAGCAAAAGAAATCTCGGAATAAAATAGCGAACGGAAGCGAGATGCCGGACGGCAACGCCGGTCATTTGTCGAGCGGTCTAAGCACCGATCACGTGAACGCCAACAAGACGACGACGACCCATTCCTCTTTAATGCAATTGAGCATCGACGATGATTTTATATTGAAGTCAGATCGTGATTTAGAAACGATTCAACGAGACGTGGAGAACAAGGAGAAATTGTTGGCGGACGTCCTGGATTTTGATTTGTCCAAATACATGACGAGCAGTCGAATAGACAGGGATGATTCGAGCATATCAAATCGCATGGACACCATAACGTGCATCAATTGTAACGTACATTCCAACAGTGTGGCGAACGGAGAGGAACCGATTGCGAGCGAGGAAAACGAAAATGTCGAACAGAGCGATCACACGGGGACCGAATCGGGGGAGGAAGATGTTAGTTATCATACCGAATTAAAGCGGTTAGAGGATCTCGGGGAGTGCAGGAAGACCCTTTTACTAAGTAAACTGGATGATACGCCACTAGCCGGTAATAATTTCGTCAATCTTCGACAGGAGCCGCTCACGAATCGAGACGAGTTAGAACATCAATTTAACGGTAGGTAATTAACGAGTCCTCGAGAACATAATGTGTAAGATGTAACGCCGTGAATATTAAAACTGAAAGTATTCTCATGCTTACAGCTTTGGCAAAGGAATGCGCCACATCCACTGTTCTCGAGGAGGAGGAAGATTGGGTTTTGGTCAAGGATGATATACCATCGATTACGTTTTAAGCAGACGTCGTGCGTAGTAGTTACCTCGCGTCTTGTACATATGTTAATATATTATTAAATTATTAGAAAATTACGAGATGCACACGAAAGGCTTTGAAATAACGAGTAGATTCTTTTATTACGAATCTTTCTTATATAGGGCATGTTTCATTGATCGTGAAAGGATTAAACTTCTATTCTGTTGTCGACATATTCATAATCAGACGAGATTAAAATGTTGTATATATGTGCAATATCAGGCAATGAAATTAATTATTGTTGAAGTCCTGGGGCTCGATTCTTGAATTCATTCGAAGGAGAAAATTCGGCCCCGACAGAAAAGTTGAAGGTGGATTGGTTAAAAGCCATGCGAATAGCCAGTCAACCTGCAACCTTTCTGCAAGAGCAGATATTTCGCATACGTTTCCCCTTCGAATGACTTCAAGAATCGAGCCCCTGAGGTGTGCAATTACGATCGTTGTCATTAGCCAACGAATTGCATTTCGCAAATGTTATCAAAATTGGAATATAATACTAGTCACTCCGTTTGGATTTTAGCATAATAATTAATGTGTTTTAATTATTAATTATATGTTGTAATTATTGATATATTTGTGATTAATGAATGTAACCTTTTATGAATCGAATATTTTGTTAAATATAGTTGCATCAATTCCGTTATTTGATGTAATATCTAAATTCAGTAGATTGCCTAGATTTACAATTCGTTGATACGTACACTATGTACTTATATTTTACTATTTTGGAAAAGTTCTGCATAATGCAATTCTCAGGTATATAATATTTAACACATTTTGCATAATCAAATAGTATTTTTACATGTTTCACGCCTATAGAGCACACGAAGATATACCACTGGTATGGTATATCGCTATTACCCAACATTTTATTATGAGTTGTTACAATTTTTGTCTTGTAATTTTCTAAGTTTTTTTTCAGACAAATAGTGATCTTCATGACACTAGGCTTAATTTTTTTTTATCTACTAGTAGCTACTTATCGCTTGTCTGCCTCTAGTTTGTGGTCCACTTCTGTTTACGGGTGACAGGAAAACAGAAAGATTATACGACACGTGAGAACGTATTGCGTTACGTCGCTCTAAAGTATATCACTTTGCCGCGCATTAATACGAATATGCAAGATACGAAAAAGTTACATACAAATGATTGTTAACGAGCAGTTATGTAACTGTATCAAATGATTGATGCTTTATCAACTATGAAATAATAAAGTCACAGTCTCGAAGTTGAACTACGTATGCTTATATATTTTCCTACCAACATATCCGTCCAATTTAACGAATAGTTCTTGGGGGGGGATTTAGGTTAATCAATTGTACAGCTTTTATTTCTCTCCGGTAATGTACACGATACTCGAATATATGTATATGAGTACGCAATAATTTACTTCATTACTTCATACTCACTGCGCCTCATTACGCTGAGGCCTCGATGAGGTTGGTGTACATTTTAATTTTACTAGCGACGCTCATGTCCACATACTGGTCACCTACCGATACGATCATACCGCCGATGATGGCAGGGTCCACTTTGGCAGTGAGCAAGATGGTCTGACCCTTCTTCAGCAAACGCTTCAACGTCGCCTCCAATTTCCCCTTCATGTCGGCGTCGAGCGGAATCGCGGTGGTCACCTCGCACACCACCTCTCCACGGTTAGCAGCCATTAGCAGCTTGTACGAGTTGATGATCGCATTGAGCTTCGGCAGCCGGCCGTTCTCCGCGAGCAGCGTCAGCAGATTCTCGGTGGCCGGATTCATGTTGCCCTTGCTCCCGATTGCCTTGAAAACCTCCACCTTATCCTTCCGCTTTATCGAGGGATTCTTTATGAAGTCCACCAGCGTGGCGTTTTGCTTCAAGAGACCCTGATTCAAAGAGACACAGTCGCAGATTAATGTCCAAATTAAATCTCCCGGACGGATGTGCAATTGTTTTTTGTTCGCACAAAACTGACACACCTGGAAACTGGTCAAGTCCTTCTCCACCGTGTCCAGAGCCTTCTGTTTAGACGCGGCTGAGAAGAGAGCCATGGCATACCTGCCTTCTAGTCCGAAAACTTGTATCGGAGGCTGCAATAGAAGAAACGAAATCAGGGTAATCGACAATACACAATTGTTTACAACAACAGTTGTAGCAATAACTCTGAGAAGAATTAAAGCATTAGGCCCGGTCTACAATGAGTTCTTAGACGTTAGTCAGAACTATGTGTCGGTCCATCTTCTCCCACCCAGAAAGGAAAAGGATCGACGTCTAGTTCCAACTTCTGACTAACAACTCATTGTAGACCGAGTCTTGGGCCTGGTTTCACCAACGTCGCTTAACTTTCAGCCTAGCTTAATTCATTCTCTGTCTCTTTCAAACGTGAATTAAACTAGGATTAGAATCAAACGACGTTTGACGAAACCAGGCCTTAGAGGCCCTCAGGTTCGGGTTCACCAAACGTCGCTCAACTTTAATCTTAGTCTAATTCATGCTTGTCTCTTTCTAAAGTAACAGTTGGAAAGAGACAAAGAACGAATTAAGCCTTAAGTTAAACAACGTTGGTAAAACCAGACCTCAGGCAGTTACATGATCGAGCCTGACTGAGCTTGTCATCCAGCATCTCGAGGACACACAGTCGTTTCTCAATCTCAACGAAAAAGAGAAAAAACAGAACTTAAATACCTTCACCAGCTGCTGCGCCGCAGTCGACGTGGAAAACGTACGCGTCTGAAACGAGAATCATTCGCGTTATTGACAAGTAATCGAGACGGATGGCGAGATATCTGCACCAACGTGCGTGTTGCGCGAGCGACAAATGCATTTTGATTTGCGTGAAGCTACGCGTTACAAATGTTTCTGGTCGCGAAGACTAAATGCGCTCAATGCGATTCAAGAGTGCTTTAATGTCATATACTCACAATTATTCTACCAACAGACATCTTCACGGGTCTCGGCGGCGATCGGAGGAGCAAGAGCCCACGGTCTTCACTCGGCCACCATTATGTAACGCGCGAGGACGTGCAGGAATCGTACCGATCGGGCGCGAGTATCGCAGGACGTAACGTGTGTCCCGACGTGCGCGTCCGGTGAGTTTTTCACGCCTCATCGCGCTTATTCACGGGCGTATTCATAACATCACGACAGCGCGAGAAAGAACGAGAATTCGACGCCGCGATTAATCATGAATCGTGCGAAATCGTCGACGGTAGGTTAGGTTCGCCGTGAAACGGGGCGGCGAGTTACCGACGGAGGACGCGCGATCCTAGTTGGCCACTTGTGATTCGGAACCGCTTCAATCGTTTACACAATCACGACAGCGCGAGAAAGAACAAGAATTCGACGCCGCGATTAATCCACGAATCGTGCGAAATCGTCGACGGTAGGTTAGGTTCGCCCTGGAACGGGGCGGCGAGTTACCGACGGAGGACGCGCGATCTAGTTGGCTGCGCGCGCGCGCGAGATGTCGCGGCGGGTCTTTCCGCGCGCGCGAGCGCGATAATCGTCGCGTCAGTATTCGCGGCGCGTATTCTCGCTCTCGGATTTACGGATTCAGGAGATGCGATTCCGCGTGTCTCGCGTTACATTTTAAATACGCGCGTTCGCGCGTTCATTAAGGGTAATTCGCGCGCGCGCGCGTTAATTAAACGAGGACGCGGGGCGGACGAGACGCGGGAGGAGGCGAGAACGTGACGTGCCTCAGGTGAGTGTCGTTTCTTCTCAGCTTTTTTTCCCAACTTTTTAAATTATCTAGGATTAGCACCTTGCGGCCTCGATTCCGCCGCACTGCACATCGAAAGTCATCCGTGACGTCTGCGCGGATCGCCTCGGTCGACACGAGCGGTGCAGAGGGTTCATTTTTGTCCCCTCACGAGCCCCCGTGATTCGGGAACCGGCCGAGAAATCGCCCTCGCGCCAGGACACAAGTCCGGCATATGCTGTTCTTAATGGCCTGAAGTAGAATTGCCGTCTTGTACTCTTAAGGCAATGTTTTGTGTTTTAAATCCTTGTCTTAAAGTAACGCGCGATAACTGTCTAGTGACTCAAGAATACAAGACTGCCATTCTGCTCGGGCCCTAAGGCTCCTGGGCTCGCAACGGCCATGTTGGAAATCGTGACGTCAGAAGCGAGAAACAACACGCTGAGAATCTTGTGGCTTATAAATAAATAACAAGATATTTGTGAACATGAAGATAGTCTAGATCGTTTCAGTACACTTTCAAAATACTCCGGTAACTAACCCTTTCCCTTGACAGCTGATAAACAGCCATAAAATGTGAATGTAACAAGATTCCTGTTACGAGTGCGCTTGCGCGTGCACGACTAAGGATCTCGTTACATTCACATTTTATGGCTGTTTATCAGCTGTCGAGGGAAAATGTTAGTTACCGGAGTATTTTGAAAGTGTACTGAAACTAGACTATCTTTTTATTCACAAATATCTTGTTATTTATTTATTAAGCGCAAGAATTCTCAGCGTGTTATTTCTCGCTTTTGACGTCATGATGCCAACATGGCCGCAGTGAGTACCCAGGAATCTTAATAACTTGTCAACTCGGAAACGTATGTATTTTTGTCCGAAAAAGCGCAAGGCGCAGGTATACAAAAAGTTTATCCGAGAAAGGATCAATGAAGATTGCGTTAAAAATAGCGCCGGTAAAGAGAAGAGACGTTTAAAAGAAGAATACGACTCTCGCGCTACGGCGAGAGATCTTGACGAGGCGAGGAAAGGAACGGGGGCACGATTCTCGAATTCACTCTCGGGAGAAACTTACGCGAAAATTCTGCTCTTACAGAAAAGCTGCGCAAGTTGATTGGCTAGTCGCATGGTTTTTAGCCAATCGACTCTCAACTTTTCTACGAGAGCAGAATTTTTGTATAAAGGAAAGCCCTCTATTAGGATTCTAACATAGACATAGCAAACACAGACTGAGTGTTCCATTGAATATGTCTATGGATACTAATACGAGACAGTAGGTATTCAACGTCCAAATTCAATGACGAATCTTTTTTTTTTTGCAACGAACACACGATCTGACAATCAATTTTCCACTGAACTTCACTCCAAAGGCAACAAATCCATGGTGGAACCAACCAGATGATGCCAATTAATTTAGCAGAAACTTAGCTGTCCCGTATTAGGAGCCTATCTCATAATAGGGGACTCTCCTCTACGTCTTTACTTCGAATGAATTTCACTGAAAAAAATTTTTGTAAAATTACATGATTATGCTGGGTTTTTTTTCCGACCCAGCATAATCATGCAATATTACTACCCACATGGAAAATTGCAGACTTTTTTCTGTAATTTTGCATGAAAATTCAAGTGTTTTTACACAAAAATAGTAATTTCGCCTATATTTTACCATTAATATGTATTTTCACTTTAAGAAATCTGGGAAAAAAATTACAGTTATAATTAGGTAATTTTCCGGATTTGAACAAATAATTTCCATGTAAAAGTACATTAATTTTTTTCAGTGCAGAATCGAGCCCCCGGACAAACGCACTTCATTCGGCCGACCGCGTGACATCGTGTTACGATCTGCCCGCGGATCGACAGTCTAAAATCGATCGTCCCTTCTGTGAAACGGCCGTTTCCGACTCGTGCCGCTTTTCTCGCGAAATATGTGAATTCGCGCCGGGTGGACGAAGGAGTCGAGGAAGGTGGCCGTAGAGTACGTGAAGGGTCGGGAACGACGGTCGCAGCCGATGATCGATTCGCTTCGAACGAGTCAAATTTATTTCGTCAACGTGATACATTATATTTCATCTTAATTTGATTTCGCTATTCGCGCCAGTTGCGCGAGCCCCGCGGTGTATTGTAACTCGGGGGCTGCCGAGACGCGCTCGCACCTCTCTTCTTCTCTCTACCGCCTAAAAATACGACATGTCAGCGCTAATATACCTCCTCTTCTTTTTTTTCCTCCCCTCTATCTTCATTAAGTGTTCCCTCAACGTAAAATTCGACGAAGTGAAATATATTCGAGTATAGTTTCGGTCCCCTTTTTGTTTTTTATGTACCGCGACAGGACTGAAGGAACGCGGAGACGGTCGAATCGCCGACTCGAGAGGTGAGCCCCGGGGGTAGCGAGCCTGGCCGTTATTTATCGTCATCTCGGCGTCGACGCGTCGTCGAGAAACGTCATTTGACGATAAATAACGTCGGCGGAACGGATCTGCCGATTCGGGCGACGTTTAGCCTCCTCTCGAGTCGAGAGGCAGAGCGATTCGAGTTCGATCGTTGTTCCACATCCGACGTCCCGAGGCTAGCGATTATTAAGTAAACGATTCGATCAGGTCGCCGGATCGTCCCCCCTCCCCCCTCTCTCTCTCTCTCTCTCTCTTTCTTCCCCCCTCTTCCCCGATCCCGATCACGATTGATATGTGTAATTGAATCGAACGTACAATCTCGCGCGCTTGGAATAGGAGCAGAACGGGATATGGTCATTTCCGTCGCGAGTGCTTTTCCACCATTCCGCGCAACGCTCGTATAAAATAGTCGCTCTCTCTCTCTCCTGTTGCGCATAACACGAGTACGGTCTTACTCTAATTTGCATACGTAACAATTCAAATCGCGTTACAATGGCACGTTCGAGATATCACGTATGATCCCCCTTCCGTGAGAACGTAACGATTAAACGAAAGTACCCGAAGTTTCGCGCGATCGCGTTTTGCTTTTTTCCCCCCTCTCTTTAAAGTATACCAGAACGTTCCGCGGATGAAAAGGGAAAGTAACAAAATATCTCGTATCTGTTACAATTATGTTATTGCGGTCGTAAATGTATGTTTGACGCTCTCATGAGTATCGATCGAGAGATCGATACTCTCTCCTTTTTCTTCCTCCTCCCCGCTCTTTTTTTTTTTTAGTTTTGTCTCCTCACAGACGCCCGCTGGCTGGTCGCACGCAGCATCGCTGTTAACCCGAAACAGTAACGCTCCGTTTGTGCGAAAATACAAAAATATCCCCCTTTTGCACCGCGGTGTATCGCGTCTGGATTCATCGCCGCGAGTTAATGCGCGCGAGGAGCGATCTTCCGAGAACAAACTGCCGATCGGAGCTCGAGAGCCGGACAAGGGGAGCTCTTTCTCAATTTTCTTTTATTTCCCTACCCCTTCGGTCTTCTTGCAGCGATGCCGTTACTGTTTAGGGTTAAAGTCACGAGATAACGATTGCGCTTCCGGCTGTGTAGCTTCATACATGCGAGAGAAATGTATGAACGGGCGTGCGCGGCTAAATCTATATTCGTTCAACATACATACGTACATACACATATATATGTATACATACATATGTGTATATAAGTATATAAGTATATATATATGTATATTCTTGGCGCAACGCTTCTCTGCGTGTGTACTCCTACGTATTGCTTTGTAGACACTCTCCATATACATATGTATATGTATGAGAGATGCGAAACGCGCGTACCTACGGCTACAATGCGTGCGCGCCCGTCGCGCATTATAAATAGATCGAGGTTGGTCCACTCACTTGTAAATACGCTAGAATATTATAATTGCTCCACAACGTACAATCTACTCGCTTTTAACACAGACACAGACGACGCGTTAACTCCGACGATATATGTGCTCGAACGCGCGCTCGTCTCACTAGGTATCATCCGTCGGGATTCTTAGGGATCGGAGATTACAAGCTAGTTTTGATTACGACCCTCGATTAAGTTTGACACGAAAACGATAGTTCCTAAACGAGAGAGAATTGGTTAGCCGCGCCAAGAGAATCGCGAATTCTTTTCGGGGGAAAAAAATCCCCGAGTCGGATATCCGAGCAATCGTAGCGGGATTGATGAAACGATCGTGGAGTGGACTTGAATAAAAGGGCTCCTCGACACCGCCGCCGCTGGTCCTTTTGTCCGCGACTTGGAAATTTAACGGGACAGCGAGTTCTTCGGGGCGTCTACAGAGGGACGTCCCCTCACCCTCCCCAAAAAATGGGAGCGGTATCGAGTGCCACTAGAATTTTTGCTGAGAGACGAAAAAGGTGCTGAAATTCCCCACCCTCTCCCCCTCCTTTTGTTCTCATCCGTTTCCGTCGTCCCGTATCCGTCGCGGCGCGACTGGTTAATAATTTGATCGGCGTCTCGGGCTTCTCTACTTTGATTGTCACCGGCTATTATACGTGCGTTAAAAATTTGTTCCAAGGATGTCTGTCAAGCGGCCACCGGGTTTAGGCCTTTCGGTTAGGCCTCCAGGTGTATCTCCCTTACGTTATCGTCGCGACGTTCCTTTATCCGCTGTCTTTCGTAAAGAGTATCCCAAGGGAGACGTATATTAATGACGCGGAAACTACTTTGAGAAATTACGGTGGATGAAGGCGCGATTTATTAAAGTTTCGTCGAAGGTGAAGGGACTTTGAGGACTTTGCCTCGAAAATAAATTGCCAAACTATTGTACGCCTCTCTCTTACGGGGACACTTTCATAAACGGGAACTCTCCGCCGCGATTCGTTCACGAGCGCCGAAGCGCCGTCCGATTCCTGTTTAACGCTACTTTAGGGAATTTAAGCTAGTTGAAATCACTGCGAAAATATATCGGTGCGTATTAATTATTCACATAATCGGAAACTATATTACGTTTTAATGAGTCGAGATGAATTATATGTACGTTAAACGTAATTAGTGCTCGCGGCGCAGCAGAGAAATCTGAAACCGTTGCGGAAGTAGGACGACTGTCGGTCTCTGTTGCTGCTCCATCGGTGCATCCTCCGTGTTCCGTTGTTCCGATTGATTTTGTTCCCAGGATTGTGAAGGGCCACGGGTTTCTCTAGGGAGAGAATCAGAGAGAGAGAGAATTTTATGACTTAGATCGCTATCTTGTCGTGGCCTATGTGCCCGAGCAAAGGGAGGAGGGTACTAAAATTTCGAAATTGTCGCACAGATTTAGAGAGATACCACAAATAG